AAAGCTGTGAAGGCTCTAGGGAACTAGACAGAAGAAGTGGGTTGGTCTGAGTGCAGAGGATCAGGAAGCAGTTGGGGAATATGGGCCAAGATGGTTGTCCAGAGGTCTGGAGTTCCAAGAGAAGAAGTGGGCCTGTGCCCATGGCTAGAAGGAGAACAGGATGTGGGGCCTGGGAGATTGAATCCGGCTGTCAAAAATTATAGCCTTGAGGTTGAATATTTAAGCTATTTATAGATTTAGTGTGAATTTTCTATTTAACTTTATAATTAAAACCATTGTTGGAATTCATTATTCCTTGGAGAGTCCCTATTCTGATGATGGATTTATTCTTCTTTATATTACTTTATACAAGAAAATTTCAATGATAATTATTATAATTATAACTATTGTACTTGTAGTTTTGTGTGGATTTGGGGTATATTTTATAAGGAAAAGTAACAATTATATGTGTAATCTCAGACACACCTTCATTTTGAAAGATAGTTGAAATTACACTGTAGACTTTCTAACCTCAGAGGAAACACAGTAATAAACACTATATGGATAAAAGACAAAAATATTGGGTATAAATTCATTGGCACCCAGAAAACACATAAGATTTGAGCTTTTACTTAGAGTTTAGACATGTTAATGTTCCTTTGCATTGCAATAGGATACAAGACCAAGGGTACTGGACACTGTCTAGTGAGTTTCTGGTCAGGAGGCAGGAATGACTTTGAGAGACACACTCCAGGAGCATCTAGAAAATGAGTGCAGTGTGAGGCATGCAGGACCACGCTGGGCACCACTAGTATGCTATTTAAATGATTGTTAATAAAGGACTGCAGTCATGGCCCCATGAAAATTGTGCTTCTGAAATCTGTTGTTTTCCCTGTTGTTGTACCTATTGGAAAATATTTTTGCCTCATTAAAATAATGAACACTGTAGATACATTGAGTCACTGAGTTTCTCCCTCACACCCATGGAAAGTGGAAAGGCTGTAGAGTAAAACAAAAACTGTCATTTTGAATGCTGCCAGGTAAGTCAGAATTCCGTGGTTTCATAAGATTGTAAAATGGAAATGAGGAGGGTAGTGTACAACATAGGAAATGCAGAGAAGTCTATTTTATGTAAGGGTTTTCAAGTAGGAGCTGATTATGCAAAATCAAATTTCCTTTGTTCACCTCAGTTGTTGATTTAAAAAACTGAAATTGTATATTGTATATGCAAGATACAATGTCATATTTTGATATAACTATGCAATGAGAAATTATGAAATTGACAGATTGCAATTTGTATTTAGAGATTTTATTTAATTTTTAAATTTTCAATTAATACTTTGAGTATTTCATACAACGTAGTTTGATCACATTCATCCCTAACACCTTCAACTACTCCAAGATCCACCCCACCTCCCTCTCCCTGTCAGATTTGTGTCCTTATTTTTCTTAATAATCCATTGACTCCTATTTGTGCTGTCCATATTCTCCTGGATATGGGACCATCAACTGAAGTGTGGTGGACTTACCAGGAGCGGAGCCATAGCCTTAATTTGACTCTTCCACACCAAGAATCCATCAACTTCCCATACCACCTTAGTTAGGGGTGAGGGCTCATGAACTTCTTTCCACTCCATATTAGAATGTTGACTAGTTTGAACTTCACAGGTAGACATAGCTTCAGTGAGATCATGAGTGCAGAGTCAGGTCATACCCAGAGGAGACTCTTTCACTCTAGTCCTCCCCAACATCTTGCTCTATCATTCTACTCTCTTTTCAATGATGGTCCCTGAATCTCGGGAATGAATGTGCTATAGATGTCCCATTTGTGGCTGAGATCTCCACTGACACTTACTCTTTGCACTTTGACCACTTATGAGTTTTTCTCATTAACCACTGTCAACTGCACAAAGAAACTCCATTGATGAAGTTTGAGAGCTGCACTAATTTTTGGATAGAAAGAGACATTTTTTTTTCTTTTGAGACGGGGTCTCCCTGTAGCCCCAGCTGTCCTGGAACTCACTATGCAGACCAGGCTGGCCTTGAACTCACAGAGATCTGCCTGCCTCTGCCTCCCGAGTGCTTGGATTAAAGGTGTGTGCCACCATGCCCTGCGAAAGAAATAAATTTAAAGAGCAGTGTAATGCTTGTCCATTTCACAGAAGAATAGTAGAAAGTTCACCATTGAGGCCTATAAGTTCCCAAACTATGTGCTATTAGCCAGTTTTAGAGTGCCAAGCAGGTGTGTCTTCAAGTAATATGGAACATAAATTTGATCAGAAAGCAGTTGATTACCCCATAACATTTGGGGAACTCTTTCACCCCTGAACATTTTTTGCCATGTTAATCCTTAGTGCAGTTCATAGGGTTCACAGCTGGGTAAGAATGTTGACTTTTTCCTCAGCTGCAAAAGATTTCTTATTTCCTTGAGGTGGGAGATATTCACACCTGTCTTTTGTTCCATGAACTTTTCAGGACATTCCTGAAAGGCACACTGGAAAGTTCAAAGTCCTTGTCTGTTTGTAATCATGATCCTGATCCACATCCTATCATGTTTCTCAAATAGGTCACTTTTGAGATGTACAGGAAAAAAGTATCTGCACATAGTATTTTAACCTGATCATAGAGCTATGTTTATTGGTATTTCAAACAAAGGAAATAAAAGGTCATCTAACACTTGTACCAATAAAAATTAGATTAAAAGTTAATAAGAGCTGGAGATATAGTTCAGCAGTTAATAGTACTGACTACTTATCTACAAGACCCTGGTTTGGTTCTCAGCACCCACATGGTGGTTAACGATTATCCATAACTCTGGTTTCAAGGGATCTGATCCCATCTTCCGCAGGCTGCAGGCATTGCACATAGAGGTGCACTTATCATAGCTGCAGAAAAAACATTCGTAGACATAATATATAACAAACAAATAAATAGTTAAGTGATTCATCACCCATCTTGCATACAATAATAATAAAGATACTGAAGGCAAATAAAAGCAACTGAAAGGCATATTTTCCCATTTTTCAGGTGTATGAATATTGGTATTTTTTTTGTCTTTTTGTGACAGGGTCTCCCTGTAGCCCCACCTTGCCTGGGACTCCCAATGCAGTCCAGGCTGGCCTTGATCTCACAGAAATCTGCCTGCCTCTTCCCTTCTGAGTGCTGAGATTTAAGTTGTGCATCACCGTGTCTGGTTCAAGATGCATAATTTTTAAGATTTCTGAACTTGGTTCACCATACACTGTATGATTACAATAGCAGTACTAAGCTGAAAGTATTGTTGTGGGGTTCAAGAAAGGATGAAGCAGAGTATCCAAGTCAGTATGGAGAGTGACTTCTAAAGACACACAAGTGGGTCAGTGTTCTTATGCACATAAAGCTATCAGCTTATCTGAGAGATGGAAGTTTCTTGTGAGTCAAAGAATCCAAATTATTCATATAAGAAGTAAAGCCAGTAAGAAAAAGAAAATCTATTAAGCTATAAAACATTAATCATAGTGTTGTAGGAAGATTCCTTCAATGTTTTTGTCACATTCTCCTGACTCTTTTATTTCAGTTGTATTTATTTCTGAGAACATATAATATCTAACTTGGAAGACACATAAGAAAATAGGTTCTTTCAGAAGAGTGTTTAGGTATTGTTTTAAGATTTTTAAAATTTTACTTGTTATTTTTTTTATGTCTATGCATGCATTGCCTGCATGTAGGTAAGTGCATCCATGTCATGCAATGCCCGCAGAGGTCAGACGAGGCTGTCGGAACTGGGACTGGAGTTACAGACACTTGTTAGCTGCCATGTGGGTACTGGGATTCAAACCTGGGTTTTCTGCAAGAACTACCAGTGTTCTTAACTGCTGAGTCATCTCTTCAGCCCTGTGATTAGGTATTTTAAACACCACAAAGCTTAATATATAGGGAAAGGAACACCCACCCACTCAAAACCTCAATGAGAATATGATTAAGAATGTAATAGAATGAACCAAGCTTCCTTCAGACTCTGCAGGAGTGTAAACATCTCTCACTTTATGACAATATCATGGCAAGACCTCTCCATCCACAGCACTGTGGCTCCAACTCATTCTGAAAAGCTCAATAAGGTAAACCCTTCACTGCATCTCCCCTTGCTTTCTACTGCAATTACCTATGAGAAACACTAACTTGTTATAGTCTTCACAGTGAGACTATATTTCATCATCTACCTTAATGGACTCTATGTTTACAATTGCAAAAGTTATTTCCTAACTCTCTCAGATGTGCCATCCTTGAAATCTGGAATTTCTGAAGGTTCTGCAGTCTTATCTGAAATAGGTATTAATTTCCATCTTTCATATAAAAAGTCCAGCAGAAGTAAGTTTGTATAATTAACAAGTTTGTCCTTGCTTCTAGAAAGCAATTTTAGAAACTTTAGAAAACACATTATATGCATGTGAAAAATGTATCTAACAAAATAAAGACATTTTTTTTGTTCTGTGCTTATGGTACTTACTATTCAAAGCAGGAACATTTAGAAAAAGAGTCAGATAATATTCTTCTATCAGGGGATTTACAAATTTACTGTTTTCACTCATTTTTATCTAGAACTTCAACTAATAATTTGGGAAAATAGTATAAAATTTCTTGTTAATAAATAGATCAACTCAAACTAAAATAGTTTGAAAAATTCTGTCTGAACTTCCTAATGTATGTTATTATAATGCATACTAAGAATTCCATATTGAATACGTCATAAGAAATCTACCTGAACACAGTATTGTAAAAATATCCATATTTTAATATATATAACACAGTGGCAAATACGGAAAAGTACATTGACAGATAAGAGGAGGGCTCATCATGAGCTCCACATGTGTGTTTTCTTCCTTTATCTCACATTAGGTAAACAGTGAACAACATGCCAACCACACAGTGAAGATAGATTTCTTCCTCACGGAATTGTCTGACAACAACTGCTCCAGGTGCTCCAGGGCTTTCTGTTTCTACTGATTTACTTGGTGTCCTTAGTGGGCAACCTTCTCATCATCATGCTTGTCACTGTGGAGACGTGTCTTCACACTCCCATGTACTTCTTCCTGAAGAACTTGTCCTTCCTCGATGTGTGCCTCATTTCCATCACAGTCCCGAAGTTCATTCTCAGCTCTTTGTCTCACAGGAGCACGATCTCTTTCCCAGGATGTGTGTGTCAGGTCTTGTTCGTGATTTCCTTTGTTGCATCAGAAATTTTCATCCTCACAGCCATGTCCTATGACCGCTATGTGGTCATCTGTCATCCACTACACTGTGATGCCATCATGAACAGGGCAGTCTGTGTGCAGATAGTAGCTGCCTCTTGGCTATTTGGAAGTTTCCTTAGGGTCTTATATTCATATGGAACCTTTTTATCTTTCGGTGGCTCAAGAAAAGTGCCACAGTTCTTCTGTGATGTCCCCTCTCCACTGAAGATTTCTTGCTCAATGATGCCTGCCACCATTGATATTAGTTTGATTGTTGGAGGCATGTTTGGGTTTTTTGGATTTGTATCTATTGGGTTTTCATACGTTTACATTTTTAACACAGTGCTGATATTGCCTTGTTACAATGAAGGTCAAAATCCTTTTCTACCTGCATGCCCCATCTCATAGTCGTTACCAGATTTTCAGTCACAGCTGCCACTGCGTATTTGAAACCATTTCCTGATTCTCCACAGCTTTTGGATTTTTTTATCTGTTTTCTATTCTGTGATCCCTCTATCAATGAATCCTATAATATACAGCCTGAGGAATAAGGAAATCAAAACTTCTTTATGGACCTTTTTATAGAAACTAGATCATTATGAATTCTATAGGGGGAAACAGTCATAGCATAAAGAAAAGCTCTGTGAAATATTTTGGATATTTAAGTGTTTCTCCATTTCCAATTACACATATTTATTATGATGTCTAGGGTTCATTTTCTTTTTAATATTTTATTATTTTTATTTGTGTGTATGAGTGTATTGCCTGCATGTATGAGAGCGCACCCATGTCGTGCAATGTTGCAGAGGTCAGAAGAGGTCTTTGGATTCCCCTGGAAATGGAGTTAAGGACAGTTTGTAGCCACCATGTGGGTGCTGGGAATCGAACCCAGGTCCTCTGCAAGAGCAGTCAATGTTCTTAACCACTGAGCCATCTCTCCAGTCCCTCAATGTCTTAAATAAATATTTCAAAATTTCTAGAAATGGGCTTATAAGTTCATTTTACAACAATTATCTCATAACCTGCATGAATTGGGTATTTGTTTCATAAAGTGCATCTCTACAATTTCAATTCCAGGAGCACTGTCACAGACTTTGGAATGATAGACGACAACTGTCCGTTTCAAGCTTCATAAAACCTCTTGAACACATTGCTTTATATTGTAAAGGCACTTTGCATGTGTGATTATGATCATTTGTTTGGAATAGGGAGACTATCCTACTGTTCACAATAAAGTCACAACTTTTTAAATCCAAGAGATTATCAAGATTTTCCTCAGAGAGACAAACATGTGTCCCTGGGAGGGTGTTTATATTGTTAGTATTGAAGGTGGGAGGTCGTCCACTGTTACGGAATGGGCTCAGCCTCTAGGGCCTGGAGGAGAGAAGAAATATTTTTCACAGGAAACTCCAGAGAGGAATGCAGCCTTGTTATTCCCCAGGATTTGAGCAATGTGACTTGTGGGCACTTCTAAACTGCAAAACTGGAGTAATAATAACCATTTTATTCCAATGCAAGGAGTTGCTAATAGCTCATAAGAAATATCAGTGATTGGACTTAAACATCTAGAATTAGGTCACTGGTAATGTTTCCTGGTATGTATATTTGGTTGAGCCAGTGTTTGTTTCTTTGTTTGCTGTTACCTCATTGTATGAGGACATAGAACACCAGAATGGTGCTGCATTTAATTTTGTGGTAATTTTGTGTTGCTGTGCGGATGGGATATCAGATGTGCCCCGCCCCAAGTGGTGGACTTGTGAACTTTCTGAGTCCAGGTGCAAACCTCATATGGAACTAGTAGATTTTTTCCCTGACATTCTTCAGAAGTCTGTGGAAAGGTGACATGCTTCTACAGATGTTCATATAGTTGTAGGGTCAGGGCCTCCTTGGGACTGAGCAGTGCTCCCTTGGGACCACGGGGAGGATGTTACGTTAATCTCAGGTGAAAGTGTGAGAGGTTAAAACCAGGTTGGAGGTTACTGGCTGGGGTTATAGATCTCAGAATGTGTCTGGGTTTTCTGGTGGGTTGAGTGGTTAGTGGTTTAGGGTACATGGGCTCTGTGTATTGCTGTCTAGCTGGGATAAGTTTTCTGGAAATGCCTCCAGAGGTGGAGGCTAATAGGGGCCATCCCACGTAGTCCTTGTTATGATGTGAAGATGATGTCTATGCTTTGGGGTGGTGGCAGATAGGTAGGGGAAGCATATCTGGGTCTCTAGCTCATGTGTGGCAATTAGAGAATCCCTGCTGTGTCCAGTGAGAGTCAAATCAATCCCAAAGGGAGAGAAGGAGTCATAAGTCTTGGGGGTTGCTGGTAAGATGTGGCAGCAGGAATAGGGATAATACCACTGGTGGGCAGCCTTCATGGGTGTCTGGATCACATGAGGCAACTGGAGACTTGATGTTGTAGCCAGATGGGATCAAGCAAATCCCAATGGGATTCTCACCCACACACATGCCATCTAGAGAAAAACTGAACAGAAACCCTGGAGTTAAATGACATCATAAATCAAATGGTCTTAACAGAATCTACAGAACATCCCATGCAAACACCAAAGAATGTACTTTCTTCTTAGCAGCCCATGGAACTTTCTACAAAATTGAACACATATCAGGGCACAATGCAAGTCTAACAAAATTCATAAACATTATTATAACTTCCAGTGTCCTTTATGACCACAGAGGAGTAAAGCTGGATATAAACAATAGAAATGGGAAAGAAAGACACAAACCCATGGAAACTAAGGAACAGACTATTGAGTGATAATAGGGTCATGAAGAAATCAAGACAGAAATTTAAGAATTCCTAAAGTTCAATAAAATAAAAATACAATGTATAAAACTATGAGGCACAATGTCTTCATTTCTAACAAATATACAGCACTAGGTGTATACATTATAAAATTAGGGATGTCTCTTTTCATATTAATGACTTAATGATACACCTGAAAATCTTAGGAAAATAAGAACAATCAATGCCCCAAGAGAGTAGAAGAGATGAGATAATCAAAATTAGGGAAGAAATTAATTAAATAGAAACAAAGAAAACATTACAAGAATCAGTGAAGTGATGTGTTGGTTCTATGGAAAGATGAAGTACCACAATTCTCTAACCATATTATCCAAAAGAGAGAAAGGACCCAAATTAATAAAATCAGAGATAAAAAGAAAAACATCACATTAGAAATATATATCACATGGATATATATTCTATCATTTCTATAATACAGATGGAAAAGATAGAAAATACATGTCTTTATCCATACAGATACATGTCATTCACAATCATGTAGGAGCATGACTCTAGAGTTATAATTGGTCATCAATGTTGCTGAGTTGATGGTCAGATGGGACTGATTAAGGAGCAGACTCTGGTATTAAGTGATGCAAGCATTTGACAACCATCAGTCACTGGCTCCTTGGAGGAGGATCTCTATTACATGGAGTGGGGGGAATAAGGGTTGTCTTGGCCCAAGGTGAGATTGTCAACTTCTCTCCTTAGTTGAATGGTATCCACTATGGTGCATAGACAGTAGAGTCATCCAGAAGCTATTGAATCTAGGCACTTGGGCCTTTGCCAGGGTGCCAAAGTCTGAGTAAGTATGCCTTTTACAATCTCAGGGATTCAAGAATGAAATGGTGGACAATGGGCAAGACCAGAGCTGGGGACTTTTTAGGTTTTGGAAAGCTTGCTCCTCTTTCTCTGTCTGTGGTTGAGTAGGAGTCTTACTATTTCAGTGAAGCCCAGGATCCAAAGTTGACAATATCCCACTGCCCGCAGGAATTTACATAGTTATTTTTTTAGTTTGGGACATGGGGATCTAACTATGGTTTTCTTCTGGATCACAGTAAGAGTCCTCTTACCTCAAGGGAGATTGTGCTCCAAGTGGGAGATTTCTGTCTTGCAAAGTCTAGTTTTCTTCATTGAGACAAGGTACCTCAGAGTCTGGAGCAGCTAGAGAAGTTCTTGGATGTGTCTTGAAGGCAAGTGGCTGGGTACACAGCTAACAGGAGGTCATCCACATACTGGAGCATTGTTGAGAGAGGATAAGAGGTCCTGAAGCTTGTCAAGACCTTCTGAAGTGCTTGCCTAAAAAGAACAAAGACCAAATTTAGTGAACCTTGTTTTTTTTTTACATGGATCTGTGGGATTTGGGGCTGTTTCCTGATTCCCATTAGAAGATTCCAGTGAAAAGTATCCAATTCTTAGAAGTAGTCAAGAACTGAAGCTTTTCAGAAAATGAAGAATCGACTTGTTGAATGGCCCTTATAACTGTGTTCCTGTCCTGAAGTTCCACCCAAGACCCTTGATCTCAGGTCCTGGATGCCTGGTCATTGGTTGCAACCAGGAGCAGTAAGGGCAAGACCCTCAACTCTTGATAAGACCTTTCAAGTACATAAAGGTATCAATCAGCAGAACAGGCCCTGTGACCACCCAGCCACAAATCCTCATGTCCTCCCTTGGGAGCCCTGAGAGGGCTGAGGCTGAGGGAAGAAGGCAGATAGGGAGGAGGGCTGGAGTTTGGAAGGATGCCTGCAAACATTCATAGCAATGACATATCCCTGAATCCTCTTTCACAATTCAGATGGGGTGTTTGGGAGTACTGACCTGCCTGTTGTAGACAAGGATGGCAAGAAACCTGGTCACATGGAGAAAGGTTATTGCCAGCTGTCTTGGAGCTCAGGACATTACCAGTACATACAGGTTCCCATAGAACAGTGATAGCTTCACAATAACTTTAACTGAGGACCCACACCAAGACGTAATGGACCAGCACCCCCAGTAGAGAGAGATACAGTAGCAGATGCATTTGAATAACCATGGAATAAAGGAGAAAGTACCGTGAAGGCCACTGTATCCCTCCAGCACTAAAAATTACTCAGGGTTTTTTTTTTTTTTTCATTTTAGCATCCCTCAATTCATTTATGGGACATGCGAGGAGGACTGGGAGAGCTGCTGGACTGAAAGGGAGAAGACAGAAAAGGTGTGTTGAGGTTTTCCTTGTCATCCCATTTCATGGCTTTTCATTAGTTTACTCAGTCAGTCCTACTCAATCCAGCAGGGCTACTAGGTGAGAAAGTCTCTGACAAAGAACAGATAAAAGCATCAAGCCTCCAAGATCAGAATATGAAGGGGGTTACAGGAAGGCAGGAACAGGACTGTTCCATGCCTCATCTTGTACAGACTGATTTATTTACAGCCTTTTCCATTTTTTCTTTCCACTGACAGATATTTCATGTAATAGTTAACATTGACTTGAATTGATTCTCATTATAAACCTGGAATGGCACAGAGCAATAGCCCTCTTTACACTTCCCTTTAAAGTGTATAACACAATTTTAAACGGAAACTTTTTCCAGCTAAGAATTGCCATCCTTATTTCTCTGTCTTATGTAGAAATTTAACCTA